CTTTGATGATGAAAAAGGTGTATTTTCATGAAATGATGCATCAATAGAAACAAGATACCGACCAGTACTCGGACAAAAACATCTATACCCCTTTTGGGGTCGAGAATAACCCAAGAAAATACATTTTAATGATTTGGGATCTAACTTTGTAAGATGAGGATTAACATCTCTAACAAAACAAGTGCAACCAAATATTTTAGGTGGGATAGGAAAAAGCTCTTTGTTTGGAAATAGACAATGATAAAGAGCTTTACCATTCAAAACAGAAGATGACATTCGATTTATGGCACATTCATTTGGAATAGAAGAGCCCTTGCAGTTTCTATCAGATGTCGGTTCTTTCGTTCTGCAACTCCATTTTGAGGAGGTGTGTCAACGCATGAAGTTTGATGAATAATGCCATGTTGAAGCATAAATGACCTAAATGTAGCAGATAGATATTCTTGAGCATTGTCTCCTCTTAACACCCGAACAGGAACGTTAAACTGAGTTTTAATTTCAGCACAAAAGGAAGAAAAATGAGTGAACAACTCAAATCGACGTTTCATGAAATACAGCCATGTCATACGAGAATAGTCATCAACAAAGGTAACAAAATATTTAAAACCAGCTTTAGACACAACCGGGCAAGCACCCCAAACATCAGAGTGAACAAGGTCAAATGGAGCATTTGCTCGTTTATTAACTCGCGGGCTTAAGCTAGTACGATGGTGTTTCGCAAATTGACATGACTCACATTGTAAAGAGGTCATCTTATTAAATTGAGGATTTATTTGCTTCATTAATGGGAGAGATGGATGTCCTAATCGGTAATGAGCATCTAACAAAGTCCCAACCCCAAGACAAGAGATACCTTTTGTGATGGATGTATCCAAAATATAAAGACCAGCTGACTCATGTCCTTTACCAATAATCTGCTTCGTTAACAGATCCTGAAACACACAATATCCAGGAAAAAATGTTACAGAACAATTAAGAGTACGAGTGATTTTACTGATGGAAAGCAGATTAAATGCAAAATTAGGAAGACTCAAAACAGGCGATAATGGTAATGTAGAAGTTGGAACAATAGTACCAGATCCAAGAACGGGTGAGGTAGATCCATCAGCTAAAGTGACACTAGAAGTAGGTAAATATGAATGAAATGATGAGAATAGACTAGGATTACCGGTCATATGATCTGTGGCACCTGAATCAATGACCCATTTCGAGGATGATGAAACAAGACATGTGTTTGAAATACCTGAATTCGCGGCTACCGAGATAGGGACAAATGAATGCTTTAAAGATTCTTGGTAGCAAATAAATTTGGCATACTCATCTGAAGAAATAGCAACTGATCCATCAGATGAACTGGTAGCGGAAGCGACACGAGCAAGTTGATTTCCTTGATTTTTGAACAGCAATTTTCTACATTCTTTGATCAAGTGCCCCGGCTTCTTACAGTAATTGCATATTACTCTTCTGTCAAATCCACTCGTACAAGACATGTTTTTTTTTATTAAATCAAAACTAAGATAGCAGTATGAACTTAAGCAGCCTTTCACGTGCCTGGGCTCAAATTTTGGAGAACGAAATAAGTAATCCACTAGGTCTTTGCAGTCCAGTAAAATAACAGACTCCAGTCAAAAGCTTCAAGGCTTCGTCTTTGGACTTCCCAATAAAACGGACTGGTAACGCATATCCAATCTCAATTCTCAACAATTAGTTTTGGGGGCATATATCCACAGATACCAGATGCTTGAATCCAGCGACCAAATAACCAGACTTCCTCCCGCCAACATATATCCGTCCCTGGCTGGAGAACAAACGAGTGAGACTTCCAAGTTCAGAAGATACCTGGAAATAACGAATACATGTGGTAGAAGACACAACGGCGAGTGAGGTGATGGGTTCCGATCAAAGCTCCGGCCATAAACACGGCTGCACGCGCCGGCGCGTGCGATGGATGCGGAAGCTCCTGACGGCGCGTGTAGCTCAAGTGCGCTGATTTGGGCGTGTGGCCTTCAGGTCGCCGGTCGCCGGCGGCAGGCGAACCAGAGGGTGGTGGTGGTGAGACAGTTGTTGGACTGAGTTTATGAACTAAAGTGATGTTCTGCTGAGGTTCTGGGGATGTTCTGAACGGGAAGAAACTGGGCTGTGAAATTAAAATCAAATGGAACAGAAGAGCTCTGATACCATGTTGAAATATAAACTAGAATAATATTGAAAGTGGAGGAAAGATTTTCTGTATATTTCATTGAAGGGTAAGGCCCTATAAATATAGATTACAAAGATAGAATATTCCTATAAAAGATGCTATACAATAATACTATATATGGTATATTCCTAATATATTCTAAAGCATATTCTAAAGTATATTCTAATATACTTTCACATGTTGTTTGTTCAAATCGTGTTGAAGAAACGTGTTAGCCACTCAATGTCTTTCTCTCCCAAATTGCTCCAGGCCTCGATCAGTATGCCATCTAAGCCAACTGGTTTCTTCCGTCCTATCTTACTCATAATCTCTTTAACTTCTGTCGTTTGGATCCTTCTCACAAAGTCCCGAATTACTACACACTCTGTTATAGTAAGATCATCAATATATTGCATTTATTCTCGTTGAACAAGGTATCAATGTGTGACCTCCACCTCTCTTTTATTCTTCATCCTCCATTAGTACCCTTTGATCAACCACCTTCACACACTTAACTTTTTCAATATCTTGAGTCCTACGATCACGAAGTCGAGCAAGTCTCTAAATATCCTTTTCTCCTTCCTTAGAGTCCAATTTTACATACAATTCCTTGCTCACTTTCTTTCTTGCTTCCTTTACAACTTTCTTTGCTTTTCTTTTAGCCTCCTTGTGCTCCTCTATGTTCTCCTTGCTCCAATTTTTTCCCAACTTTTTGTGGCATTCCCATTTGGTCCTTATCGTTTGTTTCACCTCGTCATTCCACCAAGACGTGTCCATTTTTGGTGGCAGACATCCTTTAGATTCTTTGAGTGTCTCCTTCGCCATTTTCTTTTCTTAACGATCGACTCCATTGATAACCACACATCATCCATATGTGCATCATTATCAATACATCTAACATCTTTCTCCAACATTTTGTGTGCAAAACTTTGTTGGAGATCCCGTCGAGCCTCCATCATTTTATCTTTGGCTCCACTTGTACCTTAACCCGTCTTCTCTTCTTACCTTGAAAGTCAAACACAAATATCCTATGTTGAGTACAATCGGTGTAGCCAGTTCTTCAAGTCGTTCGCACTAACACGTAGTCAATTTGGATACTATTAGCTCCACTTCTATAAGTTACAAGGTGAGTCTCTTTTTTTGAAACAAATGTTCATTACAGTCAACTCATATGCCGAGGCAAAATTTAGAATATTCTTCCTCGCCTCATTTCTAGTGCCAAAATCACGTCCGCCATGGATACTCTGAAAACCATCACGACTTGAGCCCGCATGCCCGTTGAGGTCGCATCCTATGATCAGCTTCTCTCCCCTTGACACTCGTCGTACCACTTCCTCAAAACCTTCCCACTTGAGTGATAGATGCATCCAATCTCACTTGTGATGCATAGGCACTTACCTTAGATATGATCTCATCTCCTATTACCAATTTAATGTTCATGATGATGTCATCGTTCTTCCTAAAGACTTCCGTCACACCCTCAACATAATCACGCGCCACAATAATGTCTACTCCATTTCTGGTCTTCTCTCTCCCCGGATGGATTAATCTCACATGCCTTTTCTACAACTTACTCTGTTTATTGCACGCACATAATGCTGATATCCTTCCTCATAACTGCGATTAGCTCAGACGATCTTCCCGTAAGAGAGTCAACATTCCACGTCTGATAACGCGATCTAGCGCTCTGCCTTCTCTTCTTCACCCCACATCGACCACAACCATGCCCTTGCATATTTGACACTATCCCAGAGCATTAAGGTGGCGCGTCGCTTTCGGGCAACGACCTATATCCTTAGCATTCTTATCACCACACCCAGGTGTATGAAGTGTAGCACGCCCTTGCAATTTGACACCACCCCAAGCGGGGATGACACATAGATTACGGGTGATGGCCTAGCTGTAGCCCTTATCCATATATCGATTCATGTCATGTGATTAAGTGATACCGTTGGTCGTCACGCGTCTGCCACAACACTCTCCTCATTTATCGTGGCTTGGGTCAGACATTATACCAAAATGATTTCAACATTTGTGTATTTGGCTATTGGTTAAATTTGTTTTTTAGTTCCTTGGTTATGTGAGTTTAGCATTTTTAGCCCCTTGTCTTCTTTAAAAAAACTGACCTTGATTGTACCCTTTGGTGGCCGTTTACAACTGGGGATTATATTTGTAAAGGTCAAGGAACTAAAAACTACTAATGCAACTTTTGCAAAAAAAAAAAACGATGCAACATGATTAGGGATGGACCCGGGCCGGTTCCGGGCCGGGCCCGGGCGGGCTTTTTTTCGGGTTACATGGGCCCGGAACCGGCCCGGGTTGATACCGGGTCCGGGCCTAACCGGGCCGGGCCGGGCCGGGCCCGGTTCAATGTTTTTTTTTTTTTTTTTTTTTTTACTTTCTTGTTATCTCCCTACCCCCCCCCCCCTCACCCCCACGCCCCAAACCTCCCTAAAACACCCAGCCCTACCCTAGGAAAAGAAAAAAAATTGAAAAAACCAAAAAAAAAAAAAAATGAACCGGGCCCGGCCCGAACCGCCCGGGCCGGTTCAACAAAAATAGGGCCCGGAACCGGCCCGCCCGACCCGCCAACACGGGCTAAAAGCCCGGAACCGGCCAACCGGGCCCGCACAGTAGCGGGCCGGTCCGGTTCCGGGCCGGTTCGGCCCGGCCCAGTCCATCCCTAAACATGATTGAGCAACCAAAACAACAATTTTATGGTTCTAGTATTGGAGAGGATCAAAGGAGTTAATAAGCCAGCAGAGACCTTTACTAACTTTGTTTATATATGTATGTATGCATGTATGTATACACACTACAGGTGATTGACATGCTGCTGTTCAAAGGGCTGGAAGAGCTGAAGAATGTGGTGGACCATGCTAAGCAACGGCATCACATTATCGGCCAATATGTTACAGGCCGTCAAGGTTTAACTCAGGATACGGTGGAAACTAATAAAGACCACCACGAGCCGACATCTGACTTCCTTAAAAACTTCTACAGAAGCAACTACTTTTGATGATGAACTTCTACCTAGCTGCTTTTCCCTTTGGCTTGTTGCTTCTTGCCTCATTGTTTTTTGTTTGTTTGAATATCACCGCGTCTCAATAAAGCTGTAGAATTGGATCATTGCTTCTTTTCCTCTTAAGAAACAATGAACCTGTTATTAATGTTGATTTCTGTGATATTATTTGTCCTTGGGATCAAGTCGTTTAAGGTAAAAAAGAAATTTGGGTGTTAATAATTGGGTTTCATGTCTAGCCATGTGGTGCACACTTATGTTTTAAAGATTCTCTTTTTTTTTTCTTCCTATTTTTGAGCCAAAGAGTACATTTTCGCTAGGGAACTATGGGAATGCTATGAGTGCTTGGAAAACGATGGTGGAAATCTACAATCATCTTGACATATACTAACATATATGGAGTACTAATTTTTGGTTCATGTCAAAAGTTTATGTGTTATATGAAAATAAATTAGATATTTCATTTCATTTTCATTTACCCCAGTGCCGCAAAGGCTCCCACCTATGGTGGGGTAAGGGGGGGTCGGATGTACGCAGTCTTACCTCTGTACTAAAGCACAGAGAGACTGTTTCCGGATGACCCATAGTGAAAATCGAGTCCAAAATTGCATGGACTGACTGCTGCTTCATAACAAAGAAGCGCAGACAGTTTAGTGAGTCATTTTGCTTTATTCCATCATCTTTTCAAGCCAAAAAGTAATGAATCTTTGGCTCCATTGCAAATGATGGAAAGATGAAAATAAATTAGATAGAGATTCAATATTATTATTAGATTTATTATAGGGAAAGTTTCTTTTTTTAAGGAGAATGCTTATATTAAAATAATAGAGCCAGTTAACCAAACATCAAACACAACACCTTCTCCCACACTCTTTTCACTCCCTAATTAGAGAGAGCAAACTGCCTAAAAATGAGCAAGATTAATTGTTGAACATGCGACAAATTTGAAGCGAATGTCGGCTAAGTAAGTCTCGTTACTTTCTCTCACTCAAAAACACAAAACAAAGAACTACCTACACTCTTCTAGTTTTGACAACAAAACTAAAAGCAGAGTAACGAACAAAAACATTAAATTGAGGCAAGTAAAAGTAACTAAACTAAACTTATGGTACAGCGGTGTTTCTCGTGCATCGCGGTAGCCAAATATCATCATCAACTATGTGTTAGGTGAGCCACCACTTAGCAACTTGCCGCATTCTCGTTTTTTTTGGTGTGTTTGCTTTCGCCCAAACCCGTTTCTAAGTATCCTCTACATTGTTGAAAATATGTCCTAGCACAATCATAATTTATGATTTATTAATGGATATTTAATGCTCATTAATTAATAAAGTCACAAACCCATTTTATATTATTGTGAGTTTTCTTTATTACTCCCTCCGTCCCGCTATGATCTCCTTTTACCATTTCGGTCCGTCTCACTAAGATTGTCTCATACCTTATTTGGTAAAGTTTGTGTGGTTCTAAATCATTTATACTTTATTCTTACTTTATCAATTCAATATCAACCACATAAACACGCTTTTATCAATAACCGTGTCACCTTCTCTTGTGCCAAACTTAGGGGGGCGGAGGTAGTAATATTTAGTCCTTGAATATTATATTTAGTAGCTAATTAAGTACGTGACTTAATTGTGGAATGCTACACTTTCTTTTTTAGGTAGGAATAGGCTTAAATTGATAACACATCATTCAGATAGTAGGTAAACGGGCGTAAACCGACAAAAAGATTCTTGACAACCGCCGACCCTCGAACCAGACTTAGAGTTTATAACCTCGACAAAAGTAATATAACCCGCTGATCCATTAATGGGCGCAATTGAGCCAAAGATGGTTACTGCAATCCTTACATCACTCACACCCAAATCCACAATTTATAATTTAAAAAACTAAAGAGTCAAAAACAACACAACAAAGCAGATTGTCATGAATAATTAAAATAATACTAGAAACATGAAAATCCTGCCCCAGCTTCCGGAACAACACGAGCTTCCATGTCCTTCGCACTGGCCTCAATTTAATCAGCTTAGGCGGGCTTACATATTGAAGCCCGCCCCCTCCCCGTTTTTTGCCCCATCCAGCGTCATATTATCCTCCACGTGTTTTTCCTCTTCCTGAGCTTCCCAAATGCGTCTTCGTTTCTGTTCTCCCGATGCCTCCTCATTGTTTTCAACTTCACGCCTTTAGTTGTGCTAAGCGCTGCTTCTGAAGTAGACTCCTTCCCAGCCCCTCCCATCCTGTCATCAAATTTATTGTCCTCCATTTTCTTGTGATCCCGGCTCGAGCTTGAAGATCCATCCACTAACCATTTATGTCCTCATATGGGACTAGTCTTCACCCCATTACCTGCTCGAAGAAGAACTCCAAAAGTTTTTTCCAGTACCGGGTCTTCTTCATAAGCCAGAGGGCAGAATTTATCAGAATGCCCTATGATACCATAGACAAAACAGAAATTGGGCAACTTCTTATACTTAAAATCTACCCAATGACTCACTCCTACTTTCTTTAAGTTTGTACCCTTTTCAGAGGCTTTTCCACATTCATACACACCCTAACTCTCATATAAGATTCTCACTTTTTGTTATACTGATTATCATTCATCAAACTCTATGGAACATCATGAACTTGCACCCAAAACTCGCCCTCATTTAAACAAATCTTATGTGGAATATCATCAAGCTTAACTTCTTTCAAAATCAACAATTTCCGCTCAAACTGCCATGGACCACCATCTAGAACACGTTTCATATCAACATAATGGTCAAAAGTAAAAAGGTACCTCTTATCACCAACTTCTTTGATTGAAAACCCCTTCCCCGGCCTCCACAGGGATGCCACGAGTTCTTTAAAAACAGGAAATTTGATCTTCCTATTCGTCAACAAGACTCCCACGACCGGAAAGCTCGGTCGATTCTCTTCCGTCGGAATATCATCAAATTCAGTTTTGAAGATCCAGTTCTTCTTCTGCGCCAATCGCCATCTTTTATACTGGTCCACAATCTTTTCCATGCAACCCTCTATTTCCTTGCACACCTATCCGACTCGCCTTCCAGAAGCCAACCCTCCGCCCGCTGCTTCGCCGACCTGACATGCCCGTCAAAACCGTCCACAAACTGTCGGTCCGAACAAATCAGAACTTCACCAGACTTCTATGCTACCCCTTCTTCCGAATTCTAATCGCAAATGAAAAACGAGTGGCTGGAAGAACCCAGCCCACTCCTCAGCACAGGCCGATAGCGGACGAAAACGAACCAGCGGCTGGCCTTGTGGCAAACCCTGAATAAGTGACAATTGAATGCTACACTTTCTAATAAGCATAATATTTTAATTGTCCTTGTTCTAATATTATTAATTTGGGACATTGATAATTAATAGACCAGTATGTAGATTAACTGATGACTATATTCCACGAGTCACGAGTATAGAGATATCAAGTTAATAACATATAATAGATGCTTGTTAGTGAACAAATTCACTGGACAGATCCAACTTGAGGATACTGCTAGGTTATATGTCATTAGTGTTGTCTCAATAATGACGAGGTGCTATATTCTTATACTTGAAATAACCATAATTACTTACATTAGAATTAATATGTATTAACACCATTAAATGTTACCTTTAAATGAATAATTATAAATGTGGTGATTGTACATAATATGAACCATATAGTGGTTAGTGAATTATCAAAATAGATTTTGTCACTCTCGTATAGCGAGAGAAAAATATCTATAGAGCTACTTGACAAGTAAGATTAGTCAGCATGGTCATGCGCAAATGAATTGTCATTTGCTCAAGATTAATTTTACTTGGTAATCAAAAAATATTAATTGAGAATAACAAGGATGACACGACCTAACCTTGTCTCAGTTAAGATATCGTTTGAAAAAAGAGAATTATTAGCACCAATTAACCATTAAAAGGTTATGTTAAGTTTAATTGACATTTATATATCTTCGGTGGTCATAATGTCTTGCTAGAGACCGCTTATGACTTGTGTGGCTAGAAATAATTTTCTAGTCCACTGACAATGATATATAAACCTACAGGGTCACACACCTAAGCGAGACGGCTCATTAATGTTTGTTTCTAACATTAAAATAGTCTGATTAGCCCAATTTGAAATAGGGTTTAAAATGATAATGGCTAGGGCTTCCAGGAGGGTTTTATTAGCTATAAAACTTCTTATTTCCTCTTCTTATAAGGTGAGCCACGAATTTAAGGATTAAAATTCATATCTAATAAACCTAGAGAGAGAGAGAGAGAAAGAAGAGAACACTAGCATGTTCCCTGCGGGCGATCTAGTCATGTGCGTGTGGATACCGGTAGAGCTCAAGATTGGTTTCTCAGAATGTCTGACATTCTTGCTTTGAGTTTGCAATGTATGTCTATCATATTCTTGTAATTTCGTTTATAGTAATAACTAAAGATCCGAATGCTTTCTTCTGGGCATATATTTTTTTTCCATGCTGCGTTTTCTGCCCGCTACCCAACATAGATCAGTTCCACAGCTCAAAATCTTGCCATGACCGACGTTGTTGGATCTCCCCACTTGTTGCCAGAGACGCACGACCTTCAATTGCCCATGCTTGGCCAAATATGTCCAAGCATCCTAAAGATTGGAATCACCAGTCATCCCTGAGTTTGCTGGATGGGAACGTTTGCGTCTCAACATACCGCAGCCAAAACATCCAACTGCGCAACCACCGCCCCTGGCTCGGTCACAAGCGTTGTTGGTGGCGCATATATTATTGTCACAAGACAGAGTCCAGCTCTTCTCCATTTGTTCCTCTCCATTTCCTATCCATTTCTTTTTTCTTCCTATCTATTTCTACCTTTTTCTCTATCTTAATCACCAACATACCCCACCATAATTTCCCTCATCTCTATCTCTCTCCAACTGGAAGCATCCAGTTACTGGAGAGGATCCATATTCCACAAGACATATCCAAAAACCGAACGTGTAGAAATTATTTGTAGAATCCAAAACTATTGAAATCTAGTTTTGTTTCAACCAAGTAAAAGGCTAGAACCAAATACTAGAGCCACACTAGATGTGTATTAAAATACCATTATTGGATGTGTAAATATATCTTATTCTTCAAATTGATCATCCTATTGGTTCGGATTTGTGAGTCATGTTTATTATAGGGAGAGTTGAGTTGTCGTTTTAGTCTCGCACCTTTTAACTATATGCGCTGTTAGTCCTAAGCTTTATTCATTTTCAGATTCAGTTATGTAACTAATAAACTTATCCATATGATTTTTTTTGGCTAAAGGGCCAAATAGGTCCCTGTAC